TATAAATCAAAAAACTAATAAATAAACCTTTCCATGTATTTTTCCTGGAACTGCCAGATGGGCACAAGGACTGTGCTGATCATGTGGTCTGTTGCCTCTAGTTAGAAACTTGGTGGATGAAAAGCATTTATTCACACACACACACCTCCCCCTTCTGGTGGCACAAAATGTGAACTTCACAACATACAAGGAGCCACAACCACCTGTTGTAGGGATGTGAGAATCCAAATGCTTTTCTCCCAAGAAACGAGTGAGATTTAGACTCCTGAGAGGAACATTGTGAAGAAGCACACAAAAACTGTGGGATAGTGAAGTCTTGCTAACCCACCCCATTAGACCTGCCTCTGAGCATATTTGCCATCTTTATAGCAGTGTGGGTAGGTGGTTGAGAGGATTGGATATCCCCAGCAGGAATAAAAGTAAAGATAAAGGCCTCATGTAACCAACATGACTGGGTGGAGTGCTGTTACCTTCCCGCTGAGGCGGTACCAATTGATCTACTCACATTTGCATGTCTTTCAAACTGCTAGCTTGGTAGAAACTGGGGCTAACAGTGAGAGCTCACCTTCTGGTCAGCAAATTCAGCAGCTCAGTGCTTTAACCCGCTGCGCCACCGGGGACTCCCCAGCAAAAACAATGCCAAGTATTTTGTGGCGGCTTAGCCTTGAATAAGCAACCAAGACTCATTGGCTTAGCGAAAGATCTGTCCTTGGTTCAGAGGGCAACTGTCTCCATTGGTTTGATAGTATCGCTCAAGAAAGCTGCTTAAGTTTGTAGCTGTTGGGAACTGTCACGTTAGGCATTTGAAACCCTAAAACGCCAGAGATGCAGGAATTAAAAAAACACATTCTTACATTGTAGAATCCGTGAACATGTGCCTCTTTCAGGAGTAATTTCCATGAACAGTGACTAACCAATCTTTTTTTTTTCTTAGCCCCCACTTGGACCATACCCAAAAGTTGGCCCAGGATGGGGCTGCTTCTCCTGGCACTGCTCTTAATTTTTTGGATCTGCTTACGTGAGTCCAATAGTTTGTACCCAGGCTCAAAGGCTGCTGTGGTGGCTCACAAGGGTGGTAATTTGAAAAATAAGTCCAAATATTCCCCCCATCATTTAAGGAAGAAGTTACCTTACCATTTAGGTAAGGGACATCAATTTAACACACCACTGCAGAAATGCAGATGGCTTTTTAAGTCATTCATAGTCCCTAACACAGTTCCTCCTTCCCTGTAGGATTCATGCCTGGACCCAAGATCCAAAAGACCGTCCATCTGAGGTAAAGAGATTCCCCAACTGACAGTAAGAGGACAAAGCCTTACGCCGCCCCACCATTTCCCCTGCTGTCCCTCGGCTTCTTGATCTCCATGTGATGTAATCTTTAATATTCCCCATGATATCCCGATTACTTTTTATGAGTGATATTTTGTTTTGGTTGCATAGGCATTCACTTCTGCCAGCCCTCCTTTGCTAAGCCCAGGAGGAATCCTCCCCTCAGTTATGAACAGGCCTAAGGGTGATACGTTGACTATTTGGACTGTTTGTGTCATTTCTATCTAGGGAAGAGTATGAAGTTGTACCACAAAATCCAGACAGGGAAATGGATGCTTCCCATCTTCAAGCGCCTGAGATCGACATTTCTACAAATACTGTTGAACATATTAAGAAAAATGTAAAGGAAGAAATGGTAAGGGCATAAAACTGATGATGTGCCTTACTTTCTCTCTCTCTCTTTCCAATGCAAATGCATCAGGAAGGGATATTTTAGCGTCCACAGTAATATGTTTCTGTAGAAACTACACGGCATTAACTCTATAATATTGAGAGTCTGTGGTTATGCGTAAACGTCTATGGAAACCACAATAATGCCTTGGAATGCATAAGAAACTTGGGACTGTTCAGATCTATTTGACAGTGTACGTCTGTTACACAGATTACATTGGTGTTCCTCGTCAATCTGGAACCATAAACAGTCAGGGATCATAAAATGGAAACTTGGGAATGTATTTATTTATTTATCATGTCATCAGCAACCAGACATTTGTATTACATTTTTAACAAAAACACACAAACAGACAGACAAAACACAGAATTTGCAAGCTTGGTATTTGATTAAATGTCCTTTGACCAGTATCTGGCCACTTGGAGTGCCTCTGGTGTTGCCACAAGAAGGTCCTCCATTGTGCATGTAGCAGGGCTCAGGTTGCATTGCAGCAGGTGGTCAGTGGTTTGCTCATCACCACACTCACATGTCGTGGATTCCACTTTGTGGCCCCATTTCTTGGGGTTGGCTCTGCATCCTGTGGTGCCAGAGCGCAGTCTGTTCAGTGCCTTCCAAGTCACCCAGTCCTCTGTGTGCCCAGGGGGGAGTCTCTCATTTGGTATCAGCCATTGGTTGAGGCTCTGGGTTTGAGCCTGCCACTTTTGGACTTTCGCTTGCTGAGGTGTTCCAGCAAGTGTCTCTGTAGATCTTAGAAAACTATTTCTAGATTTAAGTCGTTGACATGCTGGGTGATACCCAAACAAGGGATGAGCTGGAGATGTCACTGCCTTGGTCCTTTCACTATTGGCTGCTACTTCCCGGCGGATGTCAGGTGGTGCAATACCGGCTAAGCAATGTAATTTCCCCAGTGGTGTAGGGCGCAGACACCCCGTGATAATGCGGCATGTCTCATTAAGAGCCACATCCACTGTTTTAGCGTGATTATATGTGTTCCACACTGGGCATGCATACCCAGCAGCAGAGTAGCATAGGGCAAGAGCAGATGTCTTCACTGTGTCTGGTTGTGATCCCCAGGTTGTGCCAGTCGGCTTTCGTATGATATTGTTTCTAGCACCCACTTTTTGCTTGATATTCAGGAAGTGCTTCTTCTAGGTCAGGGCACGGTCCAGAGTGACTCCCAGGTATTTGGGTGCACTGCAATGCTCCAGTGGGATTCCTTCCCAGGTAATCCTCAGAGCTCGGGATGCTTGTTTGTTCTTAAGGTGAAAAGCACATATCTGTGTTTTAGATGTATTAGGGATTACATTGGTGTTCCTCATCAATCAGGAACCATAAACAATCAGGGATCACAAAATGGAAACTTGGGAATGTATGTGACTTACCTTTTGCACCCCTTTTGTTGTGGCTCCATTTACTCCACCTGGGGCATGGGAGGAGATAATGGAAGTGAAACTGCATTGTGAAACTGCATTATCTAGTTGGGGCTTTGGACATGCTCTTTAAGGCTCAGGTGGAAACCTACTCCATGTCTGTACAGGGCTGTGATGGCTGGTTAGAGTCTACATAGTAATAATAGTAATAGTAATAATAATACCCCACTTCTATCTCCCCGAAGGGACTTGGGTCGGCTTACATGGGGTGAAGCCTGATCAATACAATTAAAATGTAACACATTAAAATGCATAACAACAGTATAAAACAAATAAAACAACAACATTACAACAATACATAAAAACAGGCTTCAAAACCAACAACCAATAATAAGATTCAATTTCTCGTCATGGGTGGGTGGACTGGTACAACAACAATGTAAATGATGGGGCTAGTGAGTAAAGTGCATAGGTCATATGGTAGCAATAAGGATAAGAGCTATGTCAAATAGGTCATTATAGCTTTGGATAGAAAACAATAGTAAAGTGTGAGGGCAAGATTTTGAACCTAACTGGGGCCAGCTTTCTAGGGAATTGTCAACCAATGAGCAACCAAGACTCATTGGCTTAGCAAAAGATCTGTCCTTGGTTCAGAGGGCAACTGTCTCCATTGGTTTGATAGTATCGCTCAAGAAAGCTGCTTAAGTTTGTAGCTGTTGGGAACTGTCACGTTAGGCCTTTGAAACCCTAAAACGCCAGAGATGCAGGAATTAAAAAAAAAAAACATTCTTTCATTGTAGAATCTGTGAACATCTGCCTCTTTCAGGAGTAATTTCCATGAACAGTGACTAACCAATCTTTTTTTTTTTCTTAGCCCCCACTTGGACCACACCTGCAAGGCACCAAAGGAAGTCTCTCTGGATGGGGCTGCTTCTCCTGGCACTGCTCTTCATTTTTGGGATCTCCTTAAGTGATTTCCATAGTTTGTACCCAGGCCCTAAGGCTGTTGTGGCCCACAAGGGTGATAATTTGAAAAATATGTTAAAATATCCCACCCCCCTTACATCATTTAAGGAAGAAGTGGAGGAGTCTTGCCCTTCCTCCCCCTTCCTAGATGGCATGTGGGGTATTTACAATAGTTTTCATTATAGTAATATGAGGGTTGAGAGTCTAGTGTGCACAACCCAAAGAGGTCTCATGTGGCCCTCTGTTAAATGCCACGTGGATCCTTACATGGCAATGATTTAGTAACTTTAGTAACTTCAGTTGTCATTAACATGTGACATACTATTTATACTCATGTATAAGTCAAGGGCGGGTTTGGGGCCAGAATTATGGGCCTTGGTGTGATCTGTGGGGAAGTCGAAGGTTATTCTGCCGAGAGGGGAAAGCACCAATGCCACCCTTGAGTGTCAGCCAATCCTGGCTGCCGTTTCCATTTTCCTATCCGACATTTAAAAAGGCCAGAAGTGGTACATTGGTGGAGTGCATTGGCATTGGGTATTTCTATTTATGGGGTTCAAAACAGCTTAGATAAATTATCACTCCCTTTTTGTAGATGTCAGCAAATTATCTGGCAAATTATCTTGTTAACATGCCAGGCCTTCAGTCTGTTTAGGATTCCTAGTTTTAGTTTTTAGAAGTTCTTAGTAAGAAACTCACGGAGCAACGTTATCAGGGTGTTTCACTCTCCGCCATCTTCCTCTCCTATTTCTTTTTATGTTCTCCTTATTTTTTTGCCATTCTAGTCAGAGAAATTGATTTTTCCTTTCCCCCCTTTTTTTGATAGGAGTTAAAGTCATGTATTCACATTGACTCAGACTTTTGGCCACGTGAATTCCACAGCTTGGAAAGGGTGTTGTTGTTGGTTTTTTTTTTTTGGGGGGGGGGGGGGGGGTTGAAATCTCAAAAGTAAAATTTGCCATTTTAATACACCATTGTATAAATGGGGCTCATTAGAGGGACAGTTAACCCACTGCAGGTTTGACATGAGCTCTACGAGGTGATGCTTCAAGGGCTCACTGTATATGGGTTTTTGTGTAATTCATAGCCACTAACACAGTTCCTCTTTCCTTGCAGGATTCATGCCTGAACCCACAATCCCATTATGGACCACACATCCCTCTTTCCAAGGCCTCTGGTAAATGGATTGATTCCATTCGTACCCATGCTGACCATAACACTTCTAAAGCTCTGCTGTTTTTATGCACTGGCAAATCTCTATTTTCTTGACAGATCAGAGTTTGCTGGTTATTCAGTCTAACAACTGAAACCATTGCCTAGCCTAATTATATTTGGTCGTATACTATCAGAGGAGATTCTACTCTAAAAGTTTTTGGCTCTTCTCTGAAAGGTTATGTTCCCTAATATACAGTTTGTCATACAGTTTGACACCTCTTCAACTGCCATGGTTTGGTGCTATGGAACCCTGGGATGTGTAGTTTTGTGAGGCCCTGCCACGTTTTGACAGAGAAGGCTGAAGACCTTGTTAAACTAGAACTCCTAGCATTTCCTAGCACTGAGCCATGGCAGCGAAGGTGATGTCAAACTGCATTAATTCTGCAATCTAGATGCACCCTAAGACTTTCCGAGCCACCTGAACCCAGTGGGTAGCCTCAACTCATGTGAGTTCATGGAATCAATGGCAGAATGGTGAATCAGTCCTTGAGAATGTCCCGCTGGTTTAATGGGCCTACTCAAATTGGGACAAGTGGCTACCTTTGGGTCTATATATGCAATATCTTTTGCCCACAGTCAAAGCTTTCAACCAGTACTCCTGACAGCTCTTTCCTCAGCAAGGGAAAAGTCATGTTTTATACCACTTCCATGTCTTCCTCTAAGTATGTCTGGAGTCACATATACATCTTGTGCAGTTGATAAGCAGTAACTTAGACTTTCTGTTTCTCTCTCTTTTTTTCTTTTCTGGCATCAAGTTTGGAAGAATCTTGATATCTTCAGATGAAATTGTCAAGCGATTGGAACCATCCAAACTTTAAGTGTTTCTATGAGATTTATGTATATTGTTAACTTGCTTTGTTTTGTTCTGTTATTTTTTCTATATTAAAAATTTATTCTGTAATAAAAACAACATTTCAGATGATCAACTTGCATGATTACATTGACTCTTCCCAGATCTCTATTCCCCCAACCCTGCCCCATCATACACCTAACTTTATACAAATGCAGTTCTGGCTTCACTCCCACTAGTTAAATTGCTTTCATCCTCTGTATTGTCTTTCCAGTGTATTGTTAATGGTTTATTCTTTCCTGGCATCATTGCTCTCTCTTTGTGATCAGTTTCCATCCTGTTCCTACCTATCACTCTTAGCTGATTATTAATCACTAGCTGTCCCCTGTCATGCATTGCTGTGACCCAGTCTGGTGATCTGGAAAATAGAGTAATGAGAAAGTGTTGGTTTCTAATATATGTAATTTCTTTATGCTTGTGGGTAAACGGTATTTCTTGCTGTTTCTTTGTCAGAGTTGATGTGGAGAGTGTCTCGTTTGCCCACTCTGGAACATGCAACATATAATTGTCCTTTTTCAGGGGTCCCTTTCAAATTTATGATACAATATCTGTGTGTGTGTGTGAACCATATCTATCTATTAGGCCTGGGTAACAACGCAAAAATTTGTTTCTAAAATCGATTTGTAATTGGGGTGTTTTTTTGTTTCGATATTTAAAATAATTACAAAATTTTCCCTTCAAAAAGTTCGGTATTTACGAAATTTCGTAAATATTTACGAATCAATTCGTTAAGATGGCGGACCCCCCGCGCATGCGCAAAATCACTTCCGAAGCTTCGTTATTGGTGCGGGGTCGATTCGTTAAGATTATAACGAATCGATTCGTTAAAACGGCGGACGCGATTGCGCATGCGCAAAAGCGACTTCCGAAACTTCGTTATTAAATACGAATCGATTCTCTATTAAAATAATAACGAATCGATTCGTTAAAATGGCGGACGCCAATAATATAATAATAAAATTTAAATAAATAAAATATAAATAATAAATAATAATAATAAATAATAAATAATAACAATAAATAATATAAAATTATATAATATATACAATATAAAATAAAATAATATATATATATATTATATAAATGAAATAAATAATAATATAAATATTTAAATAAAATATAATTAAATTTATAAAATATTTATAAAATATAATTATAAATAATAATAAAAATAATATATAAAATTAAATTATAAATTATTAATATATAAAAATAATGTTATTATAAAAACTTAGAAAGTAAATATAAGAAATAAATAAAGAAAAAGTAACAAAAAGTAACAGAATTGCACTTTGAAAAAACTCTGAAAATTATCTGGGAAGTATTGCATACATACTAATTTCTGTAGCAGTATTGCAAGTTAAGTAAGAAGGACCAACTTCACATTTGGGTGGTGTCTCTTAATGTGCATCCTTAGCCCTGTTGTGGCAAGATGCCTCGTATCTTTTCCTCTGCTGACGCTCACACCGCAATGCCTGCAAACTGCCAAAGTGGCCCTCTCATTATGGACGTCGTAATGATCCCATAGGAGCGATCTCGGCCTACCCCTACTAGGCACTTCAGATGTACTCATGCTCGTGTTTGGACTGTCGGTGTTTGTGGAAGGGAGTATAATCGTTGGTTGTTTCTGTAGCTCGCCCTCCATCAGCATGCAGTCCTCTTGATCACTAACTCCTGTGGTGGAAGCACATTCCATCTTGTCTTCCTCCCATTCCTCTGACACGTCCGCCTCCTCGCCCTCCTCTTCATAACAAGTAGTATCAGAGGTACTTGGAACGACATCAGGATCTGAACGTAGAGTCTTTCGAACTGATGAAGAAGAAGGTTCTGCCATCTCACAGCTGGTTGAAGCATCTGTGGGTGTTTCAATAACCATCTCGTTGGATGAATGTTCCCTTCTTGTCAATGTGTTCATCTTCAGTCCCCTGCCTTTCTTCGGTATTCGCGATAGCACTTGGCCCTTGCGACTAGAAAAGCTGGGAAGGAAGCGTTTCATCACACTGGTTGGAACTACACAAATAATGAGCAAAAGGAGCGCACTGGTTGGAACTACACAAATAATGAGCGAGCACTGTATTATAGCACTTTCTGTTGGCAAAAGGAGCGCACTGGTTGGAACTACACAAATGAGCGAGCACTGTATTATAGCACTTTCTGTTGGCAAAAGGAGCGCACTGGTTGGAACTACACAAATGAGGGAGCAGTGTATGTAGCACTTTGTGTTGGCAAAAGGAGCGCACTGGTTGGAACTACACAAATGAGCGAGCACTGTATTATAGCACTTTCGTGTTGGCAAAAGGAGCGCACTGGTTGGAACTACACAAATGATAAGCGAGCAGTGTATGTAGCACTTTGTGTTGGCAAAAGGAGCGCACTGGTTGGAACTACACAAATGAGCGAGCACTGTATTATAGCACTTTGTGTTGGCAAAAGGAGCGCACTGGTTGAAACTACACAAATGAGCGAGCACTGTATTATAGCACTTTGTGTTGGCAAAAGGAGCGCACTGGTTGGAACTACACAAATGAGCGAGCACTGTATTATAGCACTTTGTGTTGGCAAAAGGAGCGCACTGGTTGGAACTACACAAATGAGCGAGCACTGTATTATAGCACTTTGTGTTGGCAAAAGGAGCGCACTGGTTGGAACTACACAAATGATGAGCAAGCACTGTATTATAGCACTTTCTGTTGGCAAAAGGAGCGCACTGGTTGGAACTACACAAATGACAAACGCACACACAGCCACCAAAGAGCAAGAAGAGGCAGAATATTAATGAGATAACGCACGAACGATCACATATGGGAGACAATTAGATTAGAGAACAAGGCACAAGGGTGCCGAAGCTCAATGCACCAGGTTCCCACAGAAGTAGAACTAGCAAGAACGTAAGCACACGGATAAAACAGGTCGACATACCGAAAACCCAGGCCGAAACAGAGACACCATGAAAACCTAAAAATAAAAAAACCGAAATAATAAAAGAGGTTCTTGGATCTTCAACCTACTTAATGCAGGAAAGACATTAGTGCATAGAAAAAAGGGGCGAAAGGGTAACAAACCATAGGTGACATAGAGTTATAACATGTATCTACACCCCCCCCCCCCCCCCCCCCCCACACACAGCTCCCCGAAGAGTCTTTTTTTTTAGAATATTTTTTTTATTTTTTTTAAGAATAAAAGACAGGTATTTTTAAAAAATATTCAAAAATGGAAAATTAACCAAAAACTGGCCCTGATGTGGACCAAACACAGCCACGAGACAGGGCAAACGAGAGCACACACCAACAGAAGAGTCTTTTCTTTTTTAGAATATTTTTTTTTTTTTTAAGAATAAAAGACAGGTATTTTTAAAAAATATTCAGAAATGGAAAATTAACCAAAAACTGGCCCTGATGTGGACCAAACACAGCCACGAGACAGGGCAAACGAGAGCACACACCAACAGAAGAGTCTTTTCTTTTTTTAGAATATTTTTTGTTTTTTTTAAGAATAAAAGACAGGTATTTTTAGAAAATATTCAGAAATGGAAAATTAACCAAAAACTGGCCCTGATGTGGACCAAACACAGCCACGAGACAGGGCAAACGAGAGCACACACCAACAGAAGAGTCTTTTTTTTTTAGAATATTTTTTTGTATTTTTTTTAAGAATAAAAGACAGGTATTTTTAAAAAATATTCAAAATGGAAAATTAACCAAAAACTGGCCCTGATGTGGACCAAACACAGCCACGAGACAGGGCAAACGAGAGCACACACCAACAGAAGAGTCTTTTTTTTTAAGAATATTTTTTGTATTTTTTTTAAGAATAAAAGACAGGTATTTTTAGAAAATATTCAAGAAATGGAAAATTAACCAAAAACTGGCCCTGATGTGGACCAAACACAGCCACGAGACAGGGCAAACGAGAGCACACACCAACAGAAGAGTCTTTTCTTTTTTAGAATATTTTTTGTATTTTTTAAGAATAAAAGACAGGTATTTTTAAAAAATATTCAAAAATGGAAAATTAACCAAAAACTGGCCCTGATGTGGACCAAACACAGCCACGAGACAGGGCAAACGAGAGCACACACCAACAGAAGAGTCTTTTCTTTTTTAGAATATTTTTTGTATTTTTTTAAGAATAAAAGACAGGTATTTTTAGAAAATATTCAAAAATGGAAAATTAACCAAAAACTGGCCCTGATGTGGACCAAACACAGCCACGAGACAGGGCAAATGAGAGCACACAGCAACAGAAGAGTCTTTTCTTTTTTTAGAATATTTTTTGTTTTTTTTAAGAATAAAAGACAGGTATTTTTAAAAAATATTTAAAAATGGAAAATTAACAAACAAAAACCGAAGGAAGGAATGAATCCAAGCAAGGAATGAATCCAAGCAAGGAATGAATAATAAGCAAGGAATAAATCCAATCCAAGCTTAGCCAGCAACCAACCAAGCCAACCCAATGCAAGCCACCCTCCCGGACCTCTTCTCTTCTCCCTCGCCTCCGCAACAAATGAGCTGTGCGGCCACGCGGAGCCGCTTTTAAAGGGCTTGCCGGCCAATCAGAAACAGCCACGGTGCACTGCTTGGGTGCTTGGGAGCGCCGGATTGGCTCCCAGGGCACCAGCATCCTCCATCCCATTTACGAAACGGGCGGAAGCTCGTTAAAAGTATGGGGGATGCCGTTTCGTTATTTTAAAACCCTTCCGGGTTTGAAAATGTGTTTTGTAATCGTTTTGTAATTGCTAAAAATAACGAATATTTAACGAATTACAAAATTAACGAACGAAACCGCCCAGGCCTACTATCTATCTATCTATCTATCTATCTATCTATCTATCTATCTATCTATCTATCTTGGATGGCTGGATGGCTCTTTGTCAGGAGGGCTTTGATTACATTTTCTTGCCCTGATGAAGGGAGTTGGACTGGATGGCCTTAAGTATTTTCTGTTGGTCCTGGGGGTTCTGTGTGGGAAGTTGGCCCCAATTCTGTAATTGGTGGGGTTCAGAATGCTCTTTGATTGTAGGTGAGCAATAAATCCCAGTAACTACAACTCCCAAAAATCAAGGTCTATTTCC